GCACCAGTGTGCGTCACCATTAATGCTCGATTAATTAATCTATTCAGCCCAAACAATAACTAACGATATCAGAATGCTTATATAACAATGCTAAGAACAATAATCCCTCTGTAACATAAAGTGCCTCAAAATGTATCTACTTCGCCAGAGCCGACTCGTCGAAATAATTGCAATTAGTGTGATTGCTCGTCAAATTCTACAATCCCTTTTTATTTCTGTTTATTTTCTTTTGCAACAGGAGATTTACTTGATTATTTCAAAATACTCTGGCTGTGTATATGCGGGAAATTTAAATCTTGCAATTCACATAAAAGTACTGTACACTTTTTACTGATTTTATTATTCTCTTTCATTTTATTGTCGGTTCAATACGATTAGTGCGAGTTTGTTAAAAGTACTTGTAATTTAATAGTCTATTATTTTTTTTTTATTTTATGCTAAGTTAAAAAGTCCATCGACTAGAAAATTTATTAAAATGAAATTTTATTTACATTTCAAATTTTTTCGCTGCATATTTAAAAAAATAATTTATTTATCTAAAAATTGCGATAAATGTTAATGATTTAAATGAAATTTATTTTTAATATTATTGAATATTTAGCAATTGTAAATTGTAACGACTGGGAATCAGACTTGCAAAGTGACAATTATCATTGGAATAAATTTTTAGTTATGTTTCGGTTTGTAGATTTCAATTTTGGAACAGGCGGAAAAAGCGCAGAGTATTGTGATGAATGTCAGTTTATTGAAATCTGATCGTGATTGTTGATTATAATTTTTAACCGTTCAATTAATAATAAATGGTTTGATAAAAAACTAAAATATCGGATGTCAGAGTGACATTTATACAATTAAGAATTATACATAATAGAAAGTCAAGCGAACTTGAGATGATGAATCGACTCAGTCGACGAAACTCTTGAAACAACATTGTAAACTTGAACAGCATCATTGTATTAGTTATGTCAAAAAATTATAAGTTCCGACTTTTGAAGATCATTTTTTTTTTAAATGAAGTTGAAAAATTAGTTTTATTTTGAATTTCATTTTTACATTTATATCTTTAAACAAATAATATGGCGTTATAATAGACTCATAAATATCAATTTCAATTTTTTCACATTAACGTATAATTTTTTATTTATGATGCATAGAATTTTTTATAATAAATACTATTTTAAAAAATAACAAAAGCTATAGAAATGTTGTAAAAATTTGTTCAACATTTTTGTAAGATAATTAAAAACATTTTTATGATTATTTCATTATTAAATCCAATTTGTTTTAAAATATGAGAAAAAAATTTTTTTTACGACTCAAATCATTCTCTCATGTTAAATGCAAATAATTAAAATCCAAAACTTGCATAATTTTAAAATACGGAAAATGGAATTTACACTAATGTAGTTTAATTAAAATAATTAGTCCCAGTTAGAAGATAATAATTGCTAAAATAATACAGTTGAAGTATGTTGTTTTAAATAATTAAATGAATAAACTTTGCAGCATACTGCTATCTGCATGTATACATAATATACATAATGTACATAGCGAATGAATAAATGGTACAGAGACAATGTATCCAGAGATCCGCACTTGTACGACATGTATTTTAAAAAATAAAAGCTTGCTCAAAAAAGTTAACAATTAAAATAACAGCTTGGTTTGTAGATGCTTTTAATTTATCTTCTTTGAATTAATCATTATATTATAAAGTTGTTTTTATTATATAATAAAAAACATTTATTTTGTAACATCATTTCAATCTCAATAATTTTGTGAGAAAAATTTTTTATTTATTTTTCGAAATATTTCAAATGTACCATTGTTACAATTTTATTCTACTGTAAATATATCCAGTACATTGGATTTTTCCAACTTGCAGTGTGGTTCTTTTATTATTTCCTGATATTAATGTCTCTTTTAGTATATTTTTCAGTCAACTTATTTTTTATTTTTATATTTCTCGTAATTTTCATTTCTTTCAATACTTTTGATCTTCCATCACAAATCCTGGAGACTCGAAAAGATGCCATTATCAATACACGATATCAAAATCATATATCTATACAATCTGTATGTTTTCTATGAACGTGAGTATTCGCAGTCAAATTGGATTTCGCTTCACCACGTTCGTTCTCATAAATAAAAAAAAAAAAGAACTTTATATTAAAAAAAAATGTTCACTTGATTTCTACAAATTCATTTTATCAGTAGATTTTTCCAATAAATAATACTGTCAGAAAAATTTACCATTGTAGTAGAGGTCTGAAATCAGTGTGCGGTTACATTTTAATTAATGAAAACCTAAAGCAAAAAATAAAAATAAATTCTCTTGAAACAGTCTAATGACGTGGTACACTCATTAGGAGAAACTGGAGATGCAATAAAATGATACCTTATATCCTTTTGTTCCAGTATCTTTTATCGCCGCCATTCTTCCTCACCTAACACCTTTTATTTGAGCTATTAAAAGAAATATCTGTATTGGCAGTAGACTAAAAGTTAGCAGTGATTCTTGTATAAATGCAGAGAATATATTGGTTGATAATAGCGTTATTCCTTATGTTAATACTGTTAAGTATCTAGGGGTCATTTTAGATAATAATCTTTCTTGGGAACACCAAGTATTAAAGACTTGTAATCAAGCTATGAAAACGTTAGCTCAACTTAAAATTAACAATGAAATATTTAATGAACAATTGCGAGTAAAATTAGTGACTACGGTTATATTCCCGATCTTTGATTATTGTTGTGCTGTGTTTACTAACATGTCGAAAAAGCTGCTGCTTAGGTTACAAAGAAAAATGAATTCTTGTGTAAGATTTATTTTTAAATTATCCAGATATGAACATGTAACCCTGTATTATAATAAATTAGGGTGGCTAAAATTAAGTAAGAGAAGAGACTACTTCATAGCATGTTTGTTTTTCAAAGAAATAAGGCTAAACTATCGGCAGCTGTTTGGCCCAGGACTTCAATATCTTAATGTTTCAATGCGTAGAGGTGACATTAGACAAGATTACTTACGTCTGCCAAGAGCAAATAGCAATATGGATGAGCAATCTTTTATAATCCATGGCATACGTATCTGGAACTCGTTGCCACCTGGGTTGACAACTGCAGATAGTCTTCCTGAATTTCAAAATGCCTCTTTTTCATTTTTTCTGGCTGATGACAATTAAAATCATCATTATATTTGTTTAAATAATTATAATTTTTGCTTTCAAAGTATTTTCAGAGTGTTTATGAATTTACTAATTAGCTACTGTATTAAGTAACTTTATTGTATTAGGTAACTTTAAAATCTTGCTCTCAAAATTATAGAACTATTGTAATTGTATTTTAATACTGTATACTTGTATATGTATAAAAATGTATTGCTTATTGATGGCCTTGAGGGAGCTTCGGCTCTAAGGACAAATAAAATATATCTATCTATCTATCTATATTCTGATTAAATTATTTCGTTGCAAACTCTCATTATTGGGTACGAAATATTTCCTTATTATTCTAAATACCTAAATATTCTAAATAGCTAAAAAATCTTGAATATTCCTTAAGAAGTTTAGAGATATTTTCTGACGTAAGTCATTAAATTTTCAGTTTATTGGCTGTCGAGTCTAATACAACAATTTTTTTCTCTAATTTTTCGTAATATCGTTAGCCTGTATTTCCCTCCAGGCATAAACAATTTATCCTTAATTCATATCTAAATTTGTCATTAATGATAAATTTGACTGAAAAAATAATTCGGACGGCCCAGACCAGAACTCGAACCTGGATCTTTTGGTTACGCGTCAAAGGCTCTACCTGTTAAGCTATCCGAGACACTGTCCAAAATTCATTAAGAAGGTCATTTGATTCCTTTGTTCCTAAAAACTGTTGATTGTAGTTAAAATGATTAATAATTTTTATCAGTTATTAACGTTTGAAATCTAATTAAAGGAAGGATTTATTACTAATAAATAAGTATTGACTATCAATTCGTTATGATCTGCGAAAATATTTATTTGACTAATTGAATCATATCAACGACTATAATATAATAGTTTACGATAAGCATTTCAAAGTTTTGACAAATTTTAAATTATAAACAAATTTATAAATTCTAAATTTCTTCTTTTGCGCCTAGCTTGATTAATAGTTCAATAATATTATGATTAGGATTACATGTGCTGGCTTGTTTCAATGGTGTCATATTGATATTATCAACTGCATTGATTTTTGCTCCGTTAAGAAGTAGCGACCGTATAATATCTTTACCCTCAGGATTTCCAGCGGCGACATGCAATGGAGTAGAGCTGAAGAAAATATCTACAGCATTGGGATCCGCTCCAAGCTCGATTAATTGTTTGATCATAGAAGGATTGGTTGGAAATCTTGCAGCAAAATGCAATATTGTTTGCCCACGTTTATCAGTTAAATCAATAAGCGCTCCCTTTTCAACCAGTAATTGCACCATTTTTGCTTGGTTGGTTTTAACAGCAGACTGTAACGCCGTCTCACCAGTTTCATCAAATGCATTAATGTCAATGGTATCATTCATGCACAAAATCATAACATTCTCAAAATCTTTGCTATAAACAGCATTTTGTAACAGACCACGCAAATTTTCGGGCTCCATGTCTTTACTATTCTTTTTTCTTGAAAGCTTTACAAGATATTACCAAGTTTCAGATGATATTTTGTCAGCAATTAAACCTCAAAAAATTAACCGAGATACCTTCAGTCGTAATGTCACCGATGCAATCGTTAGGAGCACTTGATCTTGAATAACTGTGAGTCACTGGGATGATTGCAGTGATCTTGATGTTACTATCTTTTATATCAAACACTATCAGTCCACTTAATCATTTATCTGTAACTTTAAGCCTTTGATTTTTTACAAAAATATTTATCAGTGTTGACACAGATTAGGTGATTTTTTTTGGAATACATCTTGTTAAAATTTTGATTTTTAGACAAATAAATTAATTTAGATAAATTAAAGATAAAATTTATTCTTCATACAATTCATTCTTAAAATTTTGTCCAAATATTGGCATATAAATTCTAAAAGCCAAAAATCCACCATAACCTTTCCTTGTACGATGAATAACCCCAACTCCTCCCAAAGAAAATTCAGGATCACCTTCAACATCTTGACCGTCAAAGAATGGTACTGTTGATTGCCCAGCGTCTTTTGTCAAGCCCGAATAATGAAATAGAACGTTACCTCTATACTTATCTATTGAGTTTTGTGGCGATTTGATCGGCAAATCCAATTCATATTCCATCTCGTCGGAATATCTAAAAACAAAATATCAGTAGCATCAAAGTAGCAAATACTTGATCGAATCCAAATAATAGAAAACGCGCAAAAAAACTTACCGCGATTCACTGCATGTTCTAGGAGACCAATGAGTTTGGTTCTTGATTAAACTACTTACTGGTTCACATATCTCGTAACTACTGTCGATGTAACGACAATGGTAATATCCATCACATTCCGTGTAATTCATTGAATCTTCAATGTACCATGTGTCACAATTATGACTACAAGATTGATGAATATCCAGATTTTCCTCTTTTACTATTACCGTTTGCATCATGTGAGTCATCTCGTAATACAGAGTTCCGTTACCTGAATCACAATGCAAATTAACAAAGTTTTTATGTAGTAATTACGCGATTTCAATAAGTATTTTTGTACTTACTGTTATCGTAACTTGGCAGATCACACCTCCAGAGGTAATCATTGGTTGTGTCCCCCTTGGCCTTCATTGACGATATCTCTCTCTGTAATCTGCTTATGAAGATAAACTCATCTATTTTCGCACTTGAGTAGGTCTCTAATCATGTAAAAATTCATTGTTAATAAAGATACATTTGGTAGTTAAGATAAATAACATTACATACGGTCAAGATATTGTGCGTTGATGATATCCAGATAATAACGTATCACATACTCTTTGAGATACGAAGTAACCATGTGTCGGTAAAAGTCATTGAATAGTTTTCCGAAAAGGACTCTTTTTCCACAAGAAATGTAATCGTCGGGACCCTTTAATGTTGAGTAATTTCTTAAATTACGAACAATTTATGAAGAATACTTCAAAAATTGATAAACCAATTTGCGAAATGGATAAACAATTTTTTTCGAGATGTTGACTAAATTTTGCGAATATATACTTACTGTTGAAACTCTTCCGTTACTATAAAAGACTCCCCGAAGATCTTTTGCTCTGTTATATTCAATAATAATACTTCCTTCTTTCTCCTGAGCTATACTTTGTCTTATCCACAGATTCGGTAGAATCTGGGGCCAAGTTCCGTTCAAATCCGTTGTCAACGGAGCGCCAGACTACCGACTGTGTTTACTGTAAGCAGAACGGTATTTTGAGGTTGCAAAATTTTATTTAATTCTACGGTACTTTTTTTTCCTAAATTGTATAATATAACAGTAATTCATACTTTATTTTACTGTTATTAATTAATTTATTCACTTATAACAATTAATCTACTTGAAATTACTAAATTTAATCAGCACAAACTATAGCAACGCAAAAATTTCGATCCTGACTTTTTTTCGATGGGCAAAGTGATCTGCCACAGACTAAATAATTCGAAAATGCATAGTAATCCTTCATTAGATGAGATACTACAGTTAAAAAAAGATATTTCACAGCTTGCATCTACACCCGCCAGGGTGCGCTGAAATTATTTTTACATAAACTGTAGCTCCAAAGGGATAGTTTGCTATAAAAAATGCAGCCAACGCGAGATTTAAGTTGGTACGAATTGTAAATTTTTATTATAATTACAAAAAATACTAAAATCCGAACAAAAACAGTTTCACTGTAAAAAAATCGCGCCAAGTCCACGTTCATAAGACTATTAAGAAAAAAAAATTAGTTTTTTTCTTTACAAAAAGATATAAAATAAAAAAATTAAAAAATCCAAGTAACCGATATGATTGTTTATGATTTTCGGAAATTAAAAAAAATTTTGTTGTAAATTTAAAAATTAAAAAAACAATTTTGGAACGTACTTGGTGTGCGTCATATTGTGTATTTCAATTTTTTTAAAGTCCTAGTCAATAGATTTTACGAATTTAGTTAAAAGTAAAATATTTCGCAACAACGCACACTAAATACGTTCAAAAATTGTTTTTTTAATTTTTAAATTTACAAAAAAATTTTTTTTAATTTCCGAAAATAATAAACAATCATATCGGTTACTTGGACTTTTTAATTTTTTTATTTTATATCTGTTTGTAAAGAAAAAAACTAATTTTTCTCTTAATAGTCTTATGAACGTGGACTTAACGCGCTTTTTTTTACAGTGAAACTGTTTTTCGAACAAAAGTCGAAACAAAATTTCGACAAAATTCTGAACATGTCAATAACACTTTACCGGTGGTTAATTAAAAAGAAATAGAAACCGATATTATAAAGGCTATCCAAATGTAATTAAAATCTCAGAAAATGTATTTCTGATAGAAATGGGGACTTACTTAACAACAAAATGAAATATACGCACAAAACGAACAATTCAAGCCGATAAATATACTGAGGATATTTCTTCAAGACACAAATGGTTTTTTTTATCAGAAATTACTGATTTTTTTTTATTCATTTCACTTATAATATTTTAACAAACTCATAAGACCAACGTTCATTTGACAGCTAAATTTGACAATTTCATAATCATGTGTAAAATAAAAAAATTACATGAATAATTTAATTAATTCTAAAGACAAAATTATATTTAAAACTTTAATGATAGATTAAAAATTATAAAAATAGCAAACTTAGAAAGACACATTAATTTTTCTCAGTTGGAGATTATATAAGTATAATTCAAGTCTCTTGTAGCGAGAATTTCTAGACTACCCTGCGCCACCTATTGGAAATTTTCAGTACTAAGTTTTTTAAATTCAATAAAATACCTTGAAATTTTAAATGCTTGACGAATTAGTGACTCAAAATAATTTAGTAAATATTTTTGTTTAATTTATTATTTATTCATTTAAACATAGAAGAATTTTTAATTATTTTTTAAAAAACATACGATTAAGCGTTTATGTTTTTTTTTTGTAAATTTCAACTCAATATGAACGCGATTTCAACGAAATAATTTTTATCACGTTTAAATAGCTGGTGTACTTTATTATCGCTTTATTTTAATAAAATATAATTAAAATATAATAATTGAAATGTAAAAAAATTTTTAAAAATAATTTTAGAATATGTAAATATTAATAGTTATAAAAAAATTTGACTAATGGCTAACTAATGCTACTGCAGTAACTTGGAGTAATAAATATCGACTTTGTTTCAAATATAAAAATAACTGATCAATAATTTTAACGACTTTTCACATTTCTTACACTTTTTGCTGACAATCTGAAAGAACTGAAAAAAATTCTGATGCTTAAGGACCTCAATAGATATGACAAATAATTTTGTTGCGATCTCTAATCATGAATTTCCGAAGTCTTATTTATTAATATCAAAAAAATTTGTCAATTATAGAAATTAAAATTGAAATTAAAAACAATAAAAGTTCTTATTAGAGCCACCATAAAAAACCATTGTCATGAAATCAAATTTTGAGAATGATTCGAGACAGGACTTGAATTTTATAAGAGCCGAAACGCTCTACAAATATGAATTTTTGTTCCACGAGCGTAATACAATCGTAAGTTCTCTCAACAGACTACATTTTATATTTTAATTATGAATATGTAACACTGTGATAAATGCCGCAGATTAGACAGTAATTGCAGAAATTAAAATGAAAAAATTATTTTTTTAGTTTGAACTAATGATATTTGAGTCAACTGTTTGCTAGCGAGAAATTTTAACGCCTATGCGCCACCTGTCGGAAATTTTTGGAACTAATTTTTCAAAATTTTGTCTATAATTTCTAATTTTGAACAAATATTTTTGATGAATTTTTTTTTGATATTATGATAAAAAAAATTTTTAATTTATTTAGAGGCTTACAGAGTTTCGAAGGATTCTAATCAATTAAAAATAATAATTAGTCATAACTAAAAATTATGTTAAGAGGAAATTAAGCAAAAATTAATATTATAATATTTAATGTAATTTTTATCCATAAATTATAATTATGATTTTTTATTTTAATAATTTATTACTTCTTCATCAAAAGTATTAACGCAACAAAAATAATTATGGCTTGAGCTCATGAGAATACATTTGTACAAAATTAGGAATCAGCCAATTGAGTAATTTAAATTAAGATTTTCGTGAGTAATAATTTTTATAATGATGTTTAGTGATGACTAAAAATAGCTATATGTGAAAATAAAAAAAAAATAATTACACTAACACGATAATTTTAAGCAATGAAAGGTATGTCAATTAATTTCTCGATGCTCTGTATTTATTATTGAATTTTACTCATTGCCGGATTTTGGAGATGTAATCATTCATCACTTCCCAAAAAAAAGATTGTGAAAATCTGAAAACAGAATCTATTTCTTCCAATGCTAAATTAGATAAAGCCGTTGCTTTAGTTTGTTCTGAACAATTGAGTGAAAAAGAAATTGCCATGATAACCAATAATGAAGGCTGAATAATACGAAGTTTGCTCACTCTAAATACTGTAATGTTAATTTACAAGTACGAAATTTATGGACAATTTATAATTATTGTACGTCATTTATGACTTCTTTACCGAAATCATTTGAAAGAATTTTCTCAAATATACTCAAATTCAGAAATCAATTATCTTTAAACTAAAATGCAACTGAAATTTCTTCAAACGCAGGAAAACCACAGAGTAGCAAATTTTTTTATAATAATTTAATTATAGAATAAATATATTTTTAAAAAAAATAAAATTGAGAATTATCAATTTTTTTATACCTTAATAATGAAATTAGTATAATTGTCTTGCAGGTCAGGTAAAAATATAGTAATATAATTTTTATAAAAGAACAAACTTATAAGACACAGGATATTTTTGGTTAGAAGTTATAATATCTGTGTTAAGTTTCTAGATGTGGAAATTTTAGAGCACAATTCGCCACCTGTCGGAACTTTTCAGAAGTAAAAATAAAAAATAGCTTAATTTAGATGAAAACTTGATTAAATTTTCCTAGGATTGAATTTTAAGACATTAAAGAATTTGAAATAAATTTTTGGATTATTGAAAATAATTAGATAATTACATTAGTAATTTTTAGTGTACAAAAAACGGAACTGTCAACGTTAAGATGTACAAAGTGGATTAGAATAAAATCGCTCGATCGTAAAAATAAAAAGCAGATGAGTGAATTGGGTGCATTTGAAATTTGAGCAGAAATTGGGCACTTCGGATTAAATTCTGAATAGAACCCCAATATTGAGAAGGAATTCTTGCAATACTTTTGGTACAATAATTGTCACCACCAAAAAATAGATATTAGAAATTGGTCTCATTTCATAGCTCTAATGTATGAAAGTATTCAAGAAATAAATGCTCATATTCATGAAAAAAAATATGAAGGCACATGATGAAGAGTCCATTACCTTTGATTTAAAGCGTTCAAAGCTAAAATGCAACTCTTAAAATTTTCTAAGAATATTAATACATATTCTAAGAACATTCTAAAAATATTAAAAATATTATAAAGTGAATAGTAAAATCACGATTTTACTGATTGAAATGGTATTTTTTAGCAGTTGATCATTACTTATTATAAATCGACTGTTATTTATTACACAGTTTACTTTTTTCCGTGCACTATTATTAATTTATATGTATTAAAATTTATTTTCTATTTTTTTTAGTTTGTTTTTCTTTAAAAAGCGTGTTTTTTAGTTTTTTTAAACTATTATTTGGTTCGTTGAATTAAAATTCTCTTTACTTTGGTATTCGAAAATTTGTTAATATTAGATAAATCTAAAGATAATGGTTGGAAATTAAAATTAACACCAATTCCTGCCTTATCGACTATAGATAAAAATTATATAAATTAACAAAAATCTTATTTTGCAAATTGAAAAATGGAATAATCTTATTAAATTAGTGTATTGTCAGCGGTCCTCGATATATCTACCAACAAACAAACAAAAATAAGTTTTTTGAAATTTTTCAATTTTCTTTGACGCATCAACCGATTTTTGATTCAATTTCCTATCGATCTCATTTTTCAAGTTCAAAAGTATCGATCTAATTTTTTTTTTTCTAAAAAACGTGTCTGCTAATTTCAGCAAAATTATTTAAATTTAATTTATAAGTATTGAATATTAAAAAAAATGCATTATTGTAAAATATCTAAAATTGCACTTATAAATAGCAAAATTGTTCCTATAATGTATTATAGTCTAAAAAAAAAATTATTTTTCATTAGAAGACATGACTATTGTTAAATTTTAATAAAAAAATTAACAAATATTTTATATTCGACTTTTTTACAATTCTTTACAAAATACTACATTTTAAATTAATACTAAAGCATTTTATTACAATTAATCTTTATCAAATGATAACTTGTTAGAATATAATCTATTTACAAAAAAATTACAGGACTACATACCAAGTACAGATTACATGGAACATGATTGATAAACAAAATTGTTGATGACAAATATGAAAATATCAAGTAAAAAGTGATTGAAAAAATAATTACAATTATTTAAATAAAATAAAATGAACAAATTAAAAAAAAGATAACTAATTTAGTCGCTGTCCGAGCCACTGCCACTTCCGATACCACTACCACTTCCGCTGACGGATCTTGACCTTAAGCGTGATCTAGATGGTGACCTTGAAGCAGATCTTGAACGTGCTGATGATGCAGGTGATGGCGATCGTGACTGAGGAGTCGCTGATCTAGACTTTGCTGGACTGACGGAATTTGATTTTGATCGAGAGTGAGATCTAGCTCGCGAGCGAGATCTAGATCGGGATTGAGACTTTGGAGGGGAGCGTGATCTAGATCGTGATTGAGATTTTGAACGTGAGCGCGATCTAGATCGTGATTGAGACTTTGATCGAGAGCGTGACTTTGAACGGCTTCTAGAGCGAGATGATGCTCTAGAGGAAGCTTGAGAGCCTTCTGCAAAATAAACACAATGATAATTATAATTATTACAATTAGAAACATTTTTTATCAATAAACTATCAAAAAATAGAAGACACTAACCATTTTGATCATTTTCCTGGTCTTCAGCCTGTTCTTCTTCTTGTTCTTGACCTTCCTCTTCTTCTTCTTCTTCTTCTTCTTCTTCTTCATAATCATCATTAGGTGGTTCAAGTTGTCTTTCTCGATTGCGATGCATATTGTGCTCACTCGCATTAACTGGACGATGTTTGACAGCCAAAAGTGTGTTGTTCAGCTGCTGTCCAGGAGCTTGACGACGCTTACGGAGTCGCACGAGTGTGTCAAGTTCATTGTAGTACACCTTCAAACAAATTACAATTAATATAACAGTCAACAGTTAAGAAAAAAAATTCTTAAAGTCAAAAAGGCATGTGTGAAAAAACAGTCAAAGTAGATTTTGAGAACCTCTAAACGTCGAGATCTAATCAGAAAATTTTTGGAAATAAAACTAAAAATATTAAGAAATTTTCAATTTTTGTCAGGAGAAGCTTAAAATTTTATTTCAATTTTTTCAGTGAATTTTTATTATAGAAAAATTGAAAATTTTAAGAAACTGGAATGTATTAGAATTTCAGACTCACTTCCCAAAATCATTTTTTCGATAGATCTCAACGTTTTGAGATCCTAGGAAGCTTCCAAGAGCTTTAAAGAGCTCAAAAGTTTAAAACAGCTAACTCTTTGAGCTCCGAGAGCTCAACATCAAACACAAATTATTTTTTTGAGCTGAAAGAGTTCAAAAACGTCTTAAGTGCAATTTTAAGGCGCTTAGATATAGAATTAGCTTAAAATAGTCTTAAAAAAATCTTAAAAAAAAAATTTAGACTATCTTAAGATGGGCTAACAGCGACAGAGCCCCGGAACATTAAAACGGAACGTCTTAAAATTGTCAGATAATAATTTTTTAACATTTTAAAAACATCTTACTCAAAAATATTGCGGTTAGAAAGTCGTAAAATCGTCTAAAAATTAATTTTCACAACAAATTCGAGAACCAAATTTTCAAAAATCTGCTCTCAGAATTTTTTTTTTTTGGCGTCTTAAAATAGTCTTGGTTTATGTCACGTTTAAGATCTTAAACGAACGACAATTCTTTTTTACACGAGAAATTCAGATCAAGACTTTTCCGATGAAACTAAATTAAATTTAAAAATCTTATTTTACCATATAAATAGGGTGAAAGTACCGTTTGTGGCCAGTGTACGTTTTTTGGCCATTTTATTTTCAAATCATTGGATAAATACTTATATAAGCGCAAGACTATGAATTCAATTCGTATGAATGTACTAATTCATAAATTCTATAAAAATTCTACTTGAATAGTTAAATTTTTTACAAATTCACTAGAATATCAAGGGGCCAAAAATGGTCCTAAGATGGCCAAAACCGGTACTTCTACCCTAATTAGCTTAAATTAAAGATAATCATGTGAAACTTAAAATAAATTTGATAGATTTAAGCTAACTTTTACGGCTTAAAAATGATTTGAAGGAAAAGGGCCGAAATACGTTATTTGAAAAATTTTTTCAAATTTTCAAAATCACGGAATTAATTAAAAAAAATCATCAAAACTAGACGAATAGTAGCTTAAATTGAAGGTAATTAAATGAAGTTTAAGATCAATTTAATAGATTTTACATCTGTAAAATGATTTCCATAAAATATATGAAATTCAAAATTTTTTAAAAACAAAAAAAATTTTCGAACACCCACAACTCGTAAACTAACTGGCCGATTTTGCTCATCTTCGAACTTGGTCTTAGTATTGATCCCCAGAATGAGCCCACAAAATCTCAAAATTTCGTGGTGCAACCATTTCATTTCATCGAGTAAAGTTGAAAAATGGCATTGGCTCAAAAGTTTATTTATGTATTTGTGATATTTCGCGCCATGTCAGCAAGATTGCGCCCACAGATCTCAACCGATCTTTTTGAGATTTTGTTGGCTCATTCTGTGGATCAATACTAAGATCAAGTTTGAAGATGAACAAAATGGTTGCACCACGAAATCTCCCCGACAAAATACGCTTCAAAATCTCGTTGTGCCCTTTTATCATGATTTTTTGTGTATATTTACACGAAAAATACCATCACAACTGTCAGGAATAATAATATTATTATTTAAAATTATTTAAAATTGGATGTTGTCGGGGAGATTTTGTCGTGTCACCAATGAAATATATTATGACAAAATTTTCTTAAAATTACGAGAAGAGACCGGCTACAACAGATATATTTCTAAAGAAAATAAAATTTTCCTTTTCCCCTCAATTATCTGGATAATACAACCAAAAATAAAATGATAAAATGAACTTACGCCATCATTTCTCATGACTAAGAAATAATTATCCTCATTGCCATTAGCCCCTTTCTGGATGACATTCCAATTGTACTCTTTGGCCATCTTGTATTCATACTCTTCATCATCTTCGTATTCAACCTCCGCAGCAAAATCTCTTCTGCGTTTCTCCATGGTCTCTTCCAGCGGAAGGAAGTAGGCAACAAACTGCTCGCCATTTTCATCCTGAACACCCCAAAGCACAGCTTGAGACATAGCTTCATACTCAGCTGGAGAAGTTTTCTTCGACGCAGCTTCAGACTCGAAGATGACATGAGCGCAAGGATGCTTCCACATGTTGAAGTCTGGAAGTACTGGCAATATTTCTACTGGCACAACGTCAGCTTTCCTGAAGTGTTTCTTGATTGGTTTTTTTATGTCCGCGAAGGTTTTGTCGATAGCTCGGATCTGGCTGTCACGATCCTTGTAAAGGTTCTCCGAAACGAAGTTCTTCTTCAAGGTGAATCCAACTTTAGCCTCTACTTTGTCCATGGTTTGCGGATTGAACCGGGTCTGCTCTGTTGAGATATACTCCGTTCTTCGGAGCCAAGACACACTTTTTGCGTGGTAGCGCGATCGGACTGAGTCCTGGGGCATGTAAACTTCGTCCTCTAGAAGTCTTTCATCGTCTGGGTGCAACTCGGCACAAGGATCCAGGGCGTATGTGTCACGATTTATCAGATCTACTTCTACACCCAAGTCGTGCTCGGTTAGAATCTCGTGCTTGTAGCTGCTCTCTAATGTTGTTGGGTTGTATTGAACGAATCTGGAAATTAAATATATGTTTGATGGTTAATTTAAGTCGGAGGGAAGCTAGTTTGGTACTCTACCTCTTTGCGTCGAATGGGTAGTTGATGAACTTAACATCAAACGGTATGTCCGGTAGTGTGTTGCAATACTTGACTCGGGATAGCAGTTCTGATCTGAAAAATAAATTTATTTTTTTTTAATGGAATTAAAAGTTTTGTTTTTTTTTTGTTAAATTGGGAGCTTGGATCGAGCTTGGGAGTTGTCTATGATGAAAAATAAAAATTAGGGTAGTGCAAAAAAATTACAAATTTGATTTTACAAATTACAAAAGTGATTTTGTAACAGCAACAAAACTAATTTATTGCCAAAATATTTTACAAATCAGCTATAGCTGATTATAGCATATTTTTAAATGTATTTTTATAAAATTTACTGTAGCAAATTTATTTGTTATTCCAACATATTCTCATTGTTATTATTACAAATTCTCTTTATTACTTCAACAAATTCTCATTGTTACTCCAAAAAATTCGTCTTGTTATTTTAATAGAATAATTTTGCTGTTTCAACAAAAATATTTGTCATACCAACTAAAGTATCTTGTCGAATCAACTTAAAGATTTTGCTATAGTAAAAAAAATTTTTTGTTTTTATAACGTATCAATAACTTGTTATTACCTGAATTTTGTTATTTTATCATATAATTTATTATCTCTATCTTAGGTTGTTTTAACAAAATTTTTTTATGCGTGCGTTGATTTTTAAGAAAGAAAATAATACAATTGAGATCAAAGAATTTTAACTAAAAATTACAAAAATTTTTTAATTCTTCAGTCAATTTTTAAAAAATTTATTTATAAGGACATAATTTTGGTAAAATTATGTGATACAAAAAGTAGTTTGTTATAAAAAATCAAGTCAATGTTTTTAATTAAGGAACTTTTGAGAACAATTCAGTATTTTTTACTATTTTTTTGAAATAATATAGCAGGAACAAATATTTTTTGAATTAAAATTTTGAATAAATAAAAATTAACTGTTTTAAAAAAGTCAGAAAAATAAAAAAAACAGAAGTGTAAAATGGATTATTTTGTAAAACTATTTATTCAAGCTAATATATATTTAGTCACAGGAAAAAAAGTGTTTTCATCAAAAATAAAAATATTTACAACGAATAATAACGTGAAAATTCAAAATTTGATCTTCAAAAATTCTAGAAATAAAAATAAAATTTAAGTAAAATTCTATTTCATTTAAAAATTTTTTAACAATAGTTAATTTTCACTTTTTTCAAAATTAAAATCCATAAAAATTTTTTTTTTTCAATTCTTTGTTAGTAGATGCGTACTTCATTTACACAATTAAAAGAAAAGTATACAAAAATCTATATTTGTTTTTGAATTACAGCCTTGAGTTTAGCCACGGGAGGCCAAAATTACCCCCTCTCGTTTCTCCTGCTTCATTAATTAATAACTCAGCGTCAAATGATCATAGAGACTTCTACAAAAGCTCATTTTATTGTTATTAAATCCACAAAAAAACTCTAACAAAATTTTATTAATAATTTGTTAAAATTTTCCAAAATTATTTAATTAAATAACTAATTTATGTCTTCAAATTAAAAATCCCATTATTTTTTATAATATTTTCTATGCTTAAATTCCGAAATTGAAAGTTCCAACGAAGCGCTTTTTTTTCTCATAGACTAGATTAAAATCTTTTCAAACGCACGTTATTTTAATTACAAATGAATATTAATCATACCTTTTCTCTTTCGTCCCCGGTCGCTTTGCTCGATCACTCAAAGCTCTATTAATTTGGATTGTTGGCGCCATTTTTCAGATAAATTAATAATTTTATTTACAAAAAAATAAAAATAACATGAACTTCTCTCACTGCGCTGTAAAAATTCTACAAAATCACTCTCAATTTCACAACACTGTCCAATTTGAGAGTTTCAAACGTATTTACTCAAAAGTTTGACTACAACTTGAAATGACAACGTGGGAAAGACTGCAGACTATAGCGTAGAACTAATAATATTAACAGCGTGTTAAATGGCAGAAGCTACTGCGACCTCTAGTATTCATTTCGGAAAAGCTATTGGATATAGGCGATGTAATGCGTGACGTGGAAAATTTCAAACGCATAACCCGGAAAAAATAAATTTTTGATGGTAATTTTTATTATTTAACATTATACAAAATTTTGGTCATAAATTATTTTTTTACATACATTTCAGGCTTTTTATGGTTTAATTTAATTATTGAAAATTTGATATAAATTTTTATTACAAATTTTTTTATTAGTTTCAAAAATAAATAAATAAACTTTGAGGTCAAATTTTTTTTCAAAATAAGTGAACAGAAGAAAAAAATTTTTTGCGTCTAAAAAATTTTGAAAAAGATCAAAATTATTTTTAAGCAAATACAAATTTTTTTCAGCCACAAAAATTTGACCAAAAAATTTTTAATCTTTCTAAATTTCTTGAGTTACAAAAATTTATCTTCGAGTCAAGAATTTTTTCTTTCTGGGTAAAAAAAAAAATTTGTATTAGGGGCTGTTCATAAATTACGTAAGCATAATTTGGAGCATTTTACAACCCCCCTCCCCCCATGATAAGCATTAGTAAGATTTTCAACTGATACATCCACCCCCCTCTGAAATCTTACGTAAGATATACATCAATTTTGGGCTTTCAATAAGTTAAAAAATATTTTTAATTTTTAACAAATGCCATTGAAACGTAATAGATTTAATGGGAACGCTATGGAATGCGTCACTTCTTATTTAGAGAATTTATCAATTAATAAATTAAATCTTAGATTCTAATCATTCAGGGTACGTTTCAAAATGTGAGTTCTGCCTGGCTCCAGAGACTCGGTTACTTATAAAATCGAAGAATAAATACCTCGAACTGGCCGTACAAACTAATAAAACCAACACCAATACTTATGTATAGCTTAATTAGGACTTCGAGTAGGTGATGCTTCTCCTGGTGAATTGGAACACGTGGCCTCTGGTACATGTTCTGGTGAATCCACCTCAAACCGCGTACTAGGAGTGGCATGTAATGGCAAGATGCAAATAACTGATTGACTTATTCGTTGGATAATTTATTTATTAACTATTAAATAAATTATATTAACCACTGATGCCTAACTTGTCAACATTCACACACAAACTGGAGCTAATTAGTAATATTAGGTGCTTCGAATATTACTAATAATATATCAAACTGTTCTGACTGAACAGGCAAAGTGAATCAAACTATTCATTACAAAATAGGCAAAAACGGATTAATTAAACTTGACGGACCAGGTTGAATTTTTCAAATTACAACCAACTGGGTAAGATTCAACCCTACAAATCCCAAATGGATTATTTAAACTATTCCAACTGAATAGGATTCAATTAGTTTAATTTTCACTATGTGCATCAACTAGCATTTTTTAACTGAAATAAAAGATTCTGACATGTCAGCTTCGATCTTTCCGCCTCGTTTTAATAACTTATAACCAAACAAAACTGTGTGTGACATTATCGATGCAATTGAACTATCGATCGAGAATCTTAGTAGAAAAGTAATTTAAGTTACCGACTACTGAAATAATTTAAAAATTTTGCTTACGTAAGATTTGTCTACTAGCGCCCTCCCCCCTAAGTAAGCATACATAGAGATTCAGCTTGACCCCCCCCCCTAATGAGCGCTTACGTAATTTATGAACAGCCCCTTACGATTGACAAAATTATTTACAAAAATACGAATAACTTTTCATGAAAATTTTCATTGATTCTTTTACAATTCATACCCAAAAATTCTTTGCATTGGAAAAAGTGTGACAGAGATACTACCGTTTGTTATTCACTATGAAAACTATGTATAGTTTCTATACTACTTTACCTAGACGCTGTTTATATTTTCAACTCTAAGGTACAGTAAACCGGAGTCTGTCACTAAAATTTTCTCATTGTTACTTTGGAACTGACAGGTAACATATCTTAACACTCTCCAAAGTTTTCTTTTGAGTACTAAAAAACAAATTTAAAATTGTCAAAGATTTTATTAAATTTTGGTTTTTAATTTTTAATCTGACCGAAGAAAGTGACCAAGGATTCAAAAAAGGTACAATAAATTTTTTTTTTAATTTTTATAATTTTTTCGGTGCTTTTAATTCTAGCCAACACTAAAAAGAGATCCTATTTTTGCAGTAATATTTTATTTCCAAGTTTTTCTGGAGAACTTGAACATATATCATCAAAAATAGTGTAATTGCAATTTTCAACAATAATGTGGTGGTGGTGGGTAATTCCACTGACTATTTTTGGTCTCGCAGCACTCCTGCTTGTGTATTGCCTGTGTACTTCAGTGAAATATAAGTACAGGGACAGAGCTCAAATGTATGAACTTCAAGCAATGGAACGCTGTCATTGTTAAAATTAATATCAAGGTAGTTCTCCGCAAAATTTGTTTTTTTTTTTTTTTCCGAAATTGTAAAAATTTCTTTACCAAAATTCACTCCACCGTTTTTGAGTAATTAATTTTTTAATAAATTATTAATTACTTATTTACAGATAAAGGCATAAAGAACCGGTAGAGTATTACTCATTTGGTACGAAAGATTTGGTACTAAAAAAAAATAATTAAAAAAAAAAATTTTCATAATTTTGGTGAAAAAGGAAATTAAAAAAAATCTAAGACATGAAAAAATAAAAATTGTATTTTTATTACTTAAATTAAAAAAAATCTATTTTATTTAAAATAAATTTATTTAAACACACAGATGATTACAATACATTCGTCACAACTCTGTAAATTATATGTTTGATAGGTTTAGTCCTTCCCAGGTCAGAAAACTGACCCTCTGTCCTCGCACCCTTCTCCCAACTTTACTCAAAACTTTGTCATGTACTCTCTCACTCTTCTCTGTATTTCAAGGATACTCTACAGTATATTTTGCACTAACAATCTTGATAGCATCTTACGTCTTCTCTCTCGCACTAAGCCAATAGAAACTTTGGGTATGAATTAATGTTAAAAAATAATTTTGTAACCTGTAGTACAAAGTATTTTTTTGAGTAATTTATTATAAATTTTATATAATAAGGCACTCCTTAGAGTTCACACTGCACTGGAGGCGTGCAAAATTTTCAAGATAAAAAAAATCTTGCTAAGACGATATTTTTAAAAATTAAATTGAATTATTAATTTTCCACTAACAACTCTAAGACTTATCAAAACCAAATATTCGTGCAGAAGATAACATAAATTTAATTTCGTTTTATCCAATGCAAAAAAAACATAACTATATTATAGCATTAATGTTTCCACACGATTATTTTTTTTTTTTTGAAAAATGCTACTACATGTTTAAATGAATCATGGATCATGACAAGCTAGTCTACAAATAAAAAACGTTGTAAAATAAATAATATTTTTTTACGTATAAAACAAAATTTTGCAACGCATACTTTCAGTACGATTACAAACCACCAGTTTATAATGTATCGTTTGCTAATTTTTTTCGTTTTGCAAACTTGGGTCCAGTCTCAAGTCTACAAGTAAGTATTTTTGATTTCTTCCGTCAATTTATTTATACTTGAAAACATGTAGGACCAGTGAGTATTTAAATTTTGAACAAGATTTGGGACGCTTTTTAACCAAGTAATTATTGAATAGAAAATCACTAAACTTGTCTGGAGTACGTAAATAATAGTCCTTCGTAAATTGATTCTTTTATTTTTAAATTTAATCATTGAAAAACAATAACAGAATGGTAAATAGATAGGTACTGTTCAAGTGTAAAACCTTGACCTTCAGTGCATTTTACATGTGTTTAAAATAAACAAACCGATATATTAAATCGGCATTTGTTGTCACTGGTCAAGACTGAATTACCGATACGAGACTGTACTACATGTTCTTAACCAATCATTTCAGTTCACCATGGCACTTCAAATGTGCAAATGTCCGCTGCAATAAATATGAAATAACACCAGAAGTACGCTTGCCAAAATCTTTGGAAGTGTGTCAACTACTTTGTGGCGACGCAGGTGCATTGTGGCCGAAACCAACAGGTTCATATTCCCTCGGCACTTCGATAAAAACCATAAACCCCAAAGAAGTCTGGCTAAATTTGGATAATCCAAAATCTAAAGTCGGAAAATTGCTCATACGCAAGATTGAGAACTTCAGGTCAAACTTCAAGAACCTTAAAGCGAAGTCACCCACTTCTAGTAGCGTCGGTCTTCATATCATCATCACTGGCTTGAAGAACTACGATGATGCTGCTTTGACTCTTGGCATCAACGAAGGTTACACGTTGAACATACGGCCGGAAAACTCTTCGTTCATTTCCGTAACAATCAGCGGGGAAACTTACTTTGGAGTGCGCAATGCTCTGGAAACGTTGTCGCAGTTGATAGCCTTCAACGACTTGACCAACGAATATCAGATGCTAACAACTGTTTCGATCACCGACGCTCCTGTTTATCCATACCGCGGAATATTACTAGACACCAGCCGCAATTACATAGATAAGAAAACCATATTGAAGACACTCGAAGCGATGGGGATGTCCAAATTGAACACGTTCCACTGGCATATAACAGACTCCCCAAGTTTTCCTTACGAGAGTCGCACATGGCCGAACATGTCTCGATACGGAGCCTATTCGCCTGAAAAAGTCTACACTGCTGAAGATGTAAAAGAAATTGTTGAAGCTGGTATTTTTCATGGCGTGCGAGTGATTCCAGAGTTGGATGCACCAGCTCATGTGGGTGAAGGCTGGCAGTGGGTTGGTGACGATTCTGTTGTCTGCTTTCGCGCTGAACCTTATTACCGTTACTGTGCAGGACCTCCATGTGGCAATTTGAATCCTACTAGTGAGAAGGTCTACGAAGTGCTCCAGGGGCTCTACAAAGATATGATGGAAGACTTCAAGCCTGAAATTTTCCATATGGGTGGAGACGAAGTTAGACTTGATTGTTGGCAGTCATCAGAGTCTATTAAAAATTGGATGAGACAGAAGAATTGGGGCACGTCCAAAGATGATTATATGAAACTTTGGAGTCATTTTCAAACTCGAGCTCATGAAAAATTACAGATTGCTAATGGGGGAAAGGATATAAAGGCTGTTTTATGGACGAGTACGCTTACGGATGATAGTTACTTGAGACACTTGGATCCTCAGAAGTATATTATACAGATATGGACAGATGTCAAAGATAGGACGATTAAAAGATTGTTGAAAAACAATTTTCAAGTTATTTTTTCAAATTATGACGCACTTTATCTTGATTGCGGGTAAGAAAATAAAAATTTTTATCAATCTTATGCATTTAGATTGGCATATAATATCTTTATGAATTAAAAAAAATCTTGTTTCCAGCTTCGGGGCTTGGATTGGAGCCGGAAACGGATGGTGTTCACCCTACAAAAATTGGCAGAAAATTTACGATAACTCACCTCTACAAATTGCTCGAAGCCAAGGAGTTGGAAACAAGAAACACCTGATTCTAGGTATAAATTATTTAAGTGATCCTCACCAAAATATTTATATTTCACCTAAATATTAAATGGTTCTTTAAATTGATAATAAATTTTGAATTGTGTATTTTCGTACAAATGGAAGATTCTCTAAAATGAAGTTAGACAATTTGCTAATTAAAACGTCGATATTCATTCTTAGGAGGAGAAGCTGCCCTTTGGACAGAAATTGCAGGCAGTGCGTCAGTGGACAATCGACTGTGGCCTAGATCAGCCGCAATGGCTGAAAGATTGTGGGCTGAGCCAGGTTCAGGTTGGCAGGCTGCTGAGCATCGATTGATTCTTCATCGTGAACGATTAGTTAAAAGAGGAATTTTTTCTGATACTACTGAACCTGAATGGTGTCAGCAGAATCAAGGTCACTGTAATTAAAATATAGTTGCAGAAACACCAATGGTTATAATATATCAAATAAATTTGATGCCATATCTGATAATAGATTTTTTAATTTTTGAACTAATCATGTTTTTGATACCTATTTAAGGGGTTACATGGGTTCCCTCCGGGAAAAAATGGCCTATTTTCAACAATTTTTTTTTTAATAGAAAAAATTAAGTATTTTATTCAAACTTTTTACTGTCTTAAAGATACATGTTAGTAAAGGATTACTGAAATTAAAAATAAAATATCAAAAACGCGTGATTAGTAGAACTCCTAGTAGGATTATTTAAAGTGAAAAAAAAAAAATATATGCTTTAGTTAAGACTTCAAACTAGATCTTGAACGAAGAAAAAAAAATGAAAATTGGATTTTTGGAAGAGGTTTTTAAAAAAAAATAAAAATTTGGCTAAAATTTCGCGGCATTTTTTTTTAAATAGTTGTTATTGAAAAAAAAAATCATTTGTTCAAGACCTTGTAAATTATATCTTGAAGACCTATCTAAAATATAATCAAGATCGGTTGAGTAGTTCTCGAGAAATCGTGGGTACCGTCTTTGAAAACATAGTTTTGAGAAAAACGCGTTTAAAGTTTTGAGTGGCAATACGCTAGCGCCTTAAGCGTGCAACTTTTTATAACTGTACTTCCGGAATTAGTCGGATCGATTTGAAACTTTAGGACAATATTCTAAAGATGTTGTAGAATTTAATAAAACATTTTTAAAAAAATCGATTTTATGAAACCATGAAACCCATGTACCCCTTAACTGAATAAGACATAATAATAAAATTAGATGAAAACGTTAATAACATACCTTATGATCGGAGACCTTATATCCGCACGACATTACATTTTAGGCGTTATATCCGAATGACCAATATATGATGATGATGATGATGATGATGATGATGATGATGATGATGACGATGGTGATGATGAAAATGGTCATGATGATGGAGATGATCATAATGATGAGGAATATGGCAGAGTGAAGGAATGCGAAAACTTGGAAGGGGTATGGGAGCGGAGCCCCCCAGTTGAAAAATTCATGTTAATATTAACTGATTATGGTCATATTGTTGCGGATATAGCGGTCGAAGGAATCAATTGAACGGATATATTGGCCATAGGAGTAAAACTAATTTTTATACATTTTTTTCGAGGTGACCAATTATTTTTTAAAGCATGCAAAGTATTTTGGGTCGAAATAAATTTAAAATTAAAAATTGTTTCTGATTATTTACAATATGTTATTCATAAAATTATAAATGTATAAAAATATCATTATATATAAAATGCTTTAATAAAAAATTCCAAGGCTTGATTATCAAGATACTCTATTATGCACAATGTAATTTTATACGGCAGAGGTATATATTTCCTAAGATACGGAATTCTCCGAAATTTTTCTAGAAGCCTAAAGTTTTTTTCAAATTCAAAAATTCTTGCTCTCAGAACAACGATAAACCTCCTCATACTAATCTGTCCATCTTTAATCTTCCGTTCAAGATCACATAATGATTTAGTAATAGCTTGAACAAGTTTCTTATCCTTGGTCATCAGTCGTAGCGTTGAATCATTGAAACATTTGATCGCAAGGTCATAGTAGCTCATTTTTTTGCCTTCGTAATCAAATATTTCACTCTTCAAAGACATCGATGGCAGCCGCCGTGAATTTACCCTCGTAGCAGACACAGCAACCCTGGTTATTTTCTGTCTCACATCCAAGGTCACACGTCGATTCCCACAATGAGATATCCCTTGACAATTAACCATTTTCATCGCAATCACAGTAGCGATGTTATATTTTTCTTTATCAAGAGCATATGTGAGTAATGTGTTGTTTTGAATGTCTGTAACCCTCAAACTTGGGTTATACTCCAGCAAGACTCCAGCTAGTGCTCCTTTGTTATGGATGACTGCAAAAGTCAACAGATTTATTTCTTCTCTAAAATCACAACACCATTTTGCATAGCCGACGTATTTTAAAAGGACCGATTGACTGAACATGGCGTCTACGTCAGCATTGGCTCGCAGTAAATACATCACCTGACATTCGTGGTCAAGCAGACCTGCCAAATGAATAGGTCTGGTGCTATCATCAGCTACTTTATTAACATCCGCGTTATAGTTATTTATCAGCGAATTCACGAAGTAGTTGTCATCTTCTAGGCATGCGAAATGCAATGCGGTGTTGTGACAAGAAATTTTTGAACGAGAAAATTGAAAGGAAACGATTTTGGTATTTTTTTGTTTTTTTTTTTTTTTATACATGAAAAGTTTATTTTCACGATGTAAAATTTTTTTTTTTCAAAAATTATTTTTTCAATCTTTATATTGATATTTTTTTGGTAATTAAAAATCACGTTTCATTTTTTATTTATTTATTTACCAGGATATACAAAGATATATACATACATAATACATTTAATATATAATACGCAGTGTATGTACCTATAGAGGTGTGAAACAACACCTGTACATAGGCCTGGTATGGCTAATAACTTATCCTAAGAAAATAACATAACTTATATTAGCATCCCTCGAAATATAAATAGAGTAATACAGGATCACGTCGTATAGGATCTTTACTATTGGAAAGTATACAAAAAAATACGTAAATAAATGATAAAAATACATTTAAATTAAATTAAAAAATTAAATTAATTTAAAAACATTTAATTTAATTCAGGTAACAGTTTGAATAATTTTTGTTCTTTAAGCAGCTAAATATATTATTTTTTGAAGACGCAGCTTATATATTAATCAATTGTCCTGTAACCTGCTGACTGCTGGTAATACAGTTAACAATTGGTTCTTTCTGTTATTTACTTAAAACGCAAGAGGGCGTTCAATTTGTATGAAAATAAATACTATCCTTGAAATTCGTACATTTAAATATAAAAATTAATTAGTTATTAAAATCATATTTCCAATTTATTTTTGCATTGAAAAATTGTACATTTAGATTAGCCAATTTTTTTAATTATAAAAATTGTTTAAAAATGTTTACCTAAGTAATTAAATACATTTTATTTTATAAATAATTTTCCAGTATTAATTATCTTTCTACAAAACAAAATTATTCGATTTTATTTAATTACAGCAACGCAAAAAAAAATTAAGATTAAAATTAAGACATTGAAGTATAAATAGAATTTAATTTTTCTCAACAAATCTCACGTACACAATGATTTGAATTAACCTTAAACAATTTTCCTCATTTCCTTCTCTTTGACTTTCACTCTCGCTGCACCCCTTCCCCTTTCTTATCCCTTCGCCGTCACTTTTACTCTTACTCTTACTCTTAAGCGTCCTTATTTACTGAGACTCTTTCGACATCTCTCACATCTCGTATATTTCTTACCCTCGACTCCCTCACCCTGCACCCTGCCGCCTAACAGCAGTAATTTCGGGCAAACAAATTGAATACAAGCATCAACGTTATTACTACTGCCTATATGATCTACATTGTTAAAATTCGGAAAATGATTTATTTAATCCACAAAAACTTTTCATAGCAATTATAATTATGTCGACAATTAAACCACTACTCACTTGGAAAAAAATATTTGGTAAAAAGCGTATAAGAATAAATAAAGTTTCGAAAATCCAAAAGTGTACACCTCATAACTCTCATTCATTTTTTAAGCAAAAAAATCCTTTAATTTTCTTTCCGCCCCGTGAAAAAATATTCTGATCAGACCTGATATAGCCTGATATGGACTGTCCATATCAGGCCTGATATGGAAATTGGTCATATCAGACTTGATATGGCCTGATCAGGGCTGATATGGCCACATTAAGATGTAGACAACCCAGAAGGAGAAATAAAATTTATCATTTCTGATTTTATTTTGTTTTTTAAAAAATATTTATAACACTAATTCGTAGTTAATATGAAATTTATTTTAGTATTTTTAGTTATTTGTCCAACTTTATTCAAAAACAGGTAAACTCTGTAATAGAGTAAAAAAATTCTACTCTTTTTGGAACTTAACACTTCAAAGTCAAGTATCTAGAAAAGAACAATTCCGCGACCATGCGCCATCTACCGAAGACTTTTAATACTAGTTTCGACAGTGCGGAACATGTGATTCCATGGTGAAGTCTTAGGAACTAACTAATATGTTGTCAGATTAATAATATTTCATTGATTATTTTAATTTTTTTCTAATTATTTTCAAATAATTTTAATAATTCATCAATAAATTTTATCTGTGTTGCGTGATCCCCATCCCGACCCTGGACACGGCGAGCTTGAGCACGGGGAAGTCGTGTTTATCACAACGAGGCTTTCAAACCTTCCGCAACGTCACAATTTATACATTTTATCTTTTTTTATAATTTATACCGTAAATCTGCCATAAAATATATTAATTAAAAAAATTTTAAAATGTAAATTTGCCGATTCTTAGAGTTAAAAAACCTAGTGACTGTATAACAAAATTATCACTCAGATTTGGCTTTATTTGATACTATTAAGTCAGATCCGGCTTGATAAAATTGTATCAGCATATCAAAAAATTAGAAAACGGGCATATCAAATTATATCAAGCCATATCAGAATATATCAATAAATTATCTATAGATATATCAAATTATATCAGCCCAGATCAAATTATATCAAACCAGATCAAGCCATATCAAGCCTGATGAAGCTTTATCAGGCCTGATATGGCCAATTTGCATATCAGGTCATATCAGGTTATATCAGGACCTATCAAAAATTATACATGGACATATCAGATCATGTCAGGCCTGATATGATTATATCAAAAATTTTGATATGGCCATATCAGGACATATCAAGTCTGATCAGAATATTTTTTCACGGGCGTGTATAATTGCAAAAATATCACTTGACTTTTTATATATATATTATAGAGAAATCTTTGGATGTCAGGTGGAAAAGAAAAAGACATAAATACATCCGAACGAGCATCGACGTGGAAAGGGCCATTGATAGTCTTTCTTTGGTTTCGTCAACGAGTTAAGGGTGAATAAAAATAAATAAATAATAAAACCCTCAGAGAGAAAGTCAAAGAAGGCATTGACGGAAAAAAATGGAAAAAACAAATAAGACGAATCGCAACAAGTCATTTTGAATAAAAAATATATTTATTATTGCAAGGGGTTAGAGAACCGCCAAAAGAGTGAGAGATCGTGTCACTCGTTGCGTGCGATTCAATTAATAAAAATTCATTCCATTCGTTAAATAAAAGTAAAAATAAAGAAATAAAGGGCCACTTGAAACTGAGGGAAGAGAAAGAAAGAGGAGACGGGGAGAGAAGAAAGAGTGAGATAGAAGTTAAAAATGTTGAGGGTGAACATTAAAGAATTCGAGCTGGGGCAGAGTGCGCAACATTTAAAGAAAAACTCGGCGCAAATAAGTAAAGTCTGAGTACCTTGAGGTATAAATAAATACGAATGAATAAATATCAGACAAGGGATTGCGACTGCGACGATAACTAAGAATGAGATGGAGAAAGAGGAAATGTTTGGTGAAAAAAAAATATATTATGTATATAAGATATTAAGGTTGAATGAAAAAGCGCGAGCTGCTAAAGAACTTTTTAATTAATATTATTCACTTCTTAACCTCACGATCAAAGCTGTGTAAGATTCATAGGTTGTGATAAGGAGAAAGAGTTTTAAATGTCAAAAATACATAATAAAAATTATTTTTAAAAATCACATGGTACATAAAGGAATAAATAATAGTTTAAAAAAACTAATAAACACGCTTTTTATGAAAAACTAAACTAAAAAATAGAAAAAAAAATTTTAATAAATATAAATTAATAATAGTGTAAATAAGAAAAAAATGTTTCATTTTAAAAAAAGCGTGGGGTGCATGATGTCAATAGTTATAAATATTTTATTGACAGATACGAGTAGAGTAATTATCATTTTGATAATATCTTAAAAAACACCCCACGCTTTTTTTAAAATAAAATACATTCTTTTTTATTTACACTATTATTAATTTATATTTATTGAAATTTTTAACCCTATTCTTAATTAAAATTTATTAAAATTTATTTTCTATTTTTTAGTATGGTTTTCTATAAAAAGCGTGTTTTTAGTTTTTTTAAACTATCATTTATTTTTTACTTTTTAGTTTGGTTTATTTATAAAAGCGTGATTTTTTAGTTTTTTTAAACTATTATTTGTTTTGTAGAATTAAAATTCTCCTTAGTATTCGAAAATTTGTCAATATTAGAAAAATCGGCTAAAGATAATTATTAGAAATTAAAATTAACATCAAGTCCTGTCTTATCGACAGTAGAGAAAAATTATAAAAAATTAAAATTAAGTTTCTTACCTTATCGACTATAGATGAAAATTATATCAATTAACAAAAATCATATTTTGCAAATTGAAAAATGGAATAATTTTATCAAATTAGTGTATTGTCATCGGTCCTCGATAAATCTACAAAGTTTGAACGAAATCTGGCCGTTTAAAGTGGGTCAAAATCGCGCCCAAAGAAGTCGGTTACAAACATACAAACATACATGCAAACATAACATACAAGTGAAGCTAATAAAAAGCGTGTAATAAAAATAAAAATCTAAAAAAAAAATATATCAATCGAAATGAAAAGATATCTAAGAAAATTTATTCTCTAACAAATAGTTTTCGCCATGGTGTAAAGTCGATGCTTAGCGATTTTTTTCGAAGGTGTGTATGGCATTTTGTCCAAGAAACAAACACCGCCTAAAAGTTTAACTTCGTTTGATAGATTCTTTTCTAGAAATTCAATAATTTCCTTGTCCGTAATCTGAAATCGATAATAACAATTAAAAGTTATGAATATTTTTATTTATTTTTTGGAATGAAAATTTTTTAGTATCAAAACTTGCATGCATTCCAGGAATTTTTGTAACAAAAGCCATTGGAACTTCGTGATGTTCAAAGCTTGGCTTAGCAACGACGGCTACTTCTGCGACTCCTGGACACATTTCTATTACGTTTTCGACAATTCTCGGTATGACTTCAAATAAATAGCATCTTATAGAATCCTTAATTCTGGTTTCAATGAAGAAACACCCGGATTCGTCATAATATCCCAAATCTCCGGTGTGGTACCATCCTGAAATAAAATAGATATTTATGTCATAAGGCCGTGAAGTGGCGGTTTTCTGACAGTGACGATATTTCGATATGAGCTTAAGGTTTGTGGCGGGAAGGTTTTAACGTCCGAGGCGTAGGCGTGGACGGAAATTTACGCTCGTTTTCGCGTCACAAACATTAAAGCGAATATCGAAAAAAAGTCGTTGTCAAAGTCGCCACTAAACGGCCGAATGACACATACAATATTTTGTGTTATTATCGCTCCATAAGTTTAACTTTTGAGGGATAAGAGGCAAATAATGACATATTTAAATTTTAGGAAGTTTCACAAGGCCAAAAAAAAATTAATTTTCTATTAATTATATTTTTATTAATGTTAAAATCTTGCTAACGTCCAGAAAATGTAAATAACTTTTTATTAGTATTTATTTATGGCGTTGTTGTTATTTTATTAACATTAGGTCCGCTTCGTAATAAACTGCCAGCAGAGAAATAATTAGCGCCACTTAATAGTAACTAAGACTAAAAATTATCGGTCGGTACGCTAGAATGTGATTTTTTTTTTTACAATCTCTCTCAATTTCGTCTGGGTGTACATGAAAAGTTCGTAAAAAAAAGGGAGAGGCAAATTTCACGGCTTAGGCTGTAAAAAAAGACGGTATGGTAGAATCTCTAGAAAAGAGTCCCTTTATGGACGCCACCCAGCGCTGAAAAGTTGAGCTTTTGGAGCGAGTATAACAAAAAATATTCTTTTAGTCCGATTCGGGTAAAATCGGTAAAATAATACTTGTACCCAGAATAAAATCAAGTAAATAAATTTGAAGAACTTCATCTTCTCAATTTAATTGGAAAAATTCTTAAACTAAGAAATTTTTCTTGATTTAAGACAATTAAACCCTTTAAAATTATTTTCTTAGTTCAAGAATGTTTCTCTTTATTCAATTTAATTTTTTTTTCCAGTGTATATTTAAAAAAAAAAAATGATTACAATAACATACCATCTGAATCGACAATTTCTTCAGTTTTCGCTGGATTCTTCCAGTAGCTAATCATTAATTTCGGACTTAGGACGCAGAGTTCCCCTTTTTTATTTGGACCCAAAATTTTATTGGTATCTGGATCGATAACTTTGATTTGTACATTGAAAAATACTTTTCCGCAAGAGTCAGATTTATCAAATCTTGTTGACCCAATTATCGCGGTACCACATTCGGTAGAACCTGTAAATTTTTAAAAATTAATAAAAATATAAAAAATAAATAAAGCTCAAAAATACCGTAACGAGAAGAAATATCCGCATTCTTGAACAAACTTGGTAACATTTTTATAATTTGTCCATTAGCCGCCGCACCGCCATAAGATAACAGTTTAACCGACGATAGATCGAACTTTTCTATATCTTTTATTTTGGTGAATCTGTTTAGTATTGGTGTTCCCAACCATAGTCGAGTGACCTACATCAGTTTGAATAATTATTTTTTAGTAATTATTTTGAGAAGTTCAATTTATCTTAAAATAAAATTTAAAATTATCAAATCCAAAAATCTTTATTTTATATTTTTAGAAAATTTTACCAATTTCGATCTTTAATCCGTCTAAGAGTAGAAAATATTAACAAAAATAAACAATCATGAACATTGTTATTCATCGATTTTTTACGGCTGTAAAAAGATGCACAGAAAGAAAAATTTCTTGACTAGAGAACAAAATTCTTGGCTCACGAAAATTTTCGGGCGCCTAAAGGAAGACCGAAGTTGTGTTGGACGAAGTAAAAATTTTTCTTGAAATTCTATTCTTGGTCGAAGCAATTTTTTTTTAATTCAAATTATCATAAATACTTGATACAACAAATTTTTATATTTGATCAAGATTTTTAGATACTTTAGGGAAGCAGCGCCACCTATTTCAGCTGCGAAAAAAATTTTCTCACCTTAAAAAGAAATTTTCGGTTCAAGTAAATTTTAATTGACTCAAGAATTTTTTTTTTCATTCCAGCCAATAAAACTTCAAAATTATTTTTTTGATTCAAGAATTTTTCTTTTGATTCGAGTTAATTTTTTTTTCACAGCACTTATCTATATTTAAAAAAAATTTTTCACCCAAATCACCTTATACTTCTCGATGATTTTACAAGCATCTTCTTCTGCCAAATTATCGCAAACAATCATGGTAGCTTTAAATATTATCGACCTTAATACCATCCTAGTCCCAGATATCCAGCAGAGTCTAAAAAAATATAGATCTATCGACGGTGTGCCATCATCCGGGTAATATCTGAACATATGAGCGACAGAATGATAAGAGTGCAAGACCCCTTTTGGAAAACCTGACGTTCCAGAAGTGTAAATTAAAAAGACTGGATCTTTCGGTTCCACTCTCGTACATTCAAATTTCTCTACATCTTCATTACTTTGCGTTTTTAGTACATCCTCGAAAGATGAATAACCATTTTTTATTCCAAAAACTACTATTAGTAACGAATATTCCATCTTGGTTATTGTTCTAGTTATTATTTCTGCATGGTTTTCGTCGATGAATAAAACTTTTGGCTGGGTTGTTTCGATCAAATTCTTCACGAGTTCTGTTGAATATAATTATTTTTATCTAATGGTTGTCAATTATTATCAAGTCGAATTATAAATAACGAACCCTCGTCTATGCAAGTGTCCCACCAAGGGTTGATGATGGCTCCGATGTAAAAAGAAGCATACACAGGTATGCAAGTGTCCAAATGGTTTTTTGAACAAATACCAACGACATCTCCAGGAGAGACTCCTTGTTCTTTGAGCCACAATGCGCACCTTATACTTCTATCGCCCATATCTGCATAAGTGTCTTTTATTCCTGTAATTCCATCGATCTAAAACACAAAATTATTGTTAATGATCAAGGTTTGGTTGAATTATTAAATAATCTAATTAAAATACCTGTCCAACGAAATCTGGATACTTTTTGAACTGATTAAGTATCCTTTCTCCAATTTTGTAGTATCCATCGGGCATTTCAACTTTCCCGCCTTTCCAAATCCCATTTTTATAGCTTGGCTCAGGAATCTTTTTTAATAGATCAAAGTTAATAAATTTTTAGTGGATTGTATAGAAATCTAACTATTAGTCCTCATGACGCAACTTTTGAAAAATTTTGCTATATTCCGACTTAACTTGACGAGCTGAGTCAGAAAATACATATGATTCAGAAGTTTATGTATGTACACTAGGGTGTGCCAAAATGTATAACTCTCGTGGAGAACCTTTTAAAATTGGAATTTTGAGTTCCGATTTCAACAGGGGCTGCGTTTGGGCATTTCCTGAGATATTTTGGTGTGAGACGATGTATTTGATTTTCATAGAATTTTTTAACAGAAGCTTAGTTTGGGAATTTCCGGTGAAAATTCAAAATTTGGCCGGAAGTGCCCAATTAAATCTCCTGTTAAAAATCCTATAAATAATCAAATGAATTCTCTTATCCCGAAATATCTCAGGAAATGTCCAAACACATCAGCTGCTGTTAAAAGTGGAACTCAAAATTCCAATTTAAAAAGATTCTCTACGGAAGTTACATTTTGGCACACCCTAATGTACATTTATGAAAGAAATTAGGGAAACGGTTGACCCTAAAGGCCATCCCTGCAACTTCCCGCTACTTCCATATTTAAGCGCTCAAAATTGCACTTATTACGTATCTGAGCTCTTTGAGCTCAAAAATCTAATAGAAGTTTCATAAAACACTATTTTTTGAATTTTTAGACCGCACTGAAAAATAAGTTTTTTTATACCCGGAATACTGAATATTTTTTAGTCGAGTTTTCTTGTACGAAGTAAAAGTCAAGTTAAATATTTTAGATTTAAGAAAACTGGTATTTTAAATCTGAGAATACCAAGTTTTTTAACAGGACTAAAACTAAATTCTATGTTACCATAGCAACCGTGACGGTGGCGCCACTATTTTGTCATTTCCCTCCAATCTACAGTGTACGCGTGTTTTTTAGTTATTAGTTTACCTCCTGCCTGAGTCTAGTTACCTAAATATTTATTTCTGTAAATTAAATAATTTATAAATTATAAATAAAAGTATTAATCATCAATATTACTTCCCCTTACTCCCTTACTTATATGAATTCTTGGATGCAAAAGAAGTTGTCAGAATGAAATTTATCATCTCCAACAAATTTATAACTCATTTTAGCAATACATTCTTTCCTTATAATCAACTTTTATAATAAGGTAAAAGACCCAGCTATTTTCACTGGCCTAGTTGTTTGATTGACACTTGCAATTTTATTCTAATTAAAAAAAATAGAATGTTCTCAAAAAACCAATTATCTTAAAATTTATAATTCAAATATAATGTTTATAAAATTATCAGAGTTGATTTTTTTTTTTAATTCAAATAAAATTGCAAGTGTCAATAACTAAGTCTTTTACCTTAGTAATGTTATTAATTATAAAAAGTATAGTTTCTCATAATTATCTATCCTAAAGATTCGTATCGACTAAGCGAGGTTAAGTCGGCCATATTGATTGTAGTATTTTAATAATGAGAATACAAAGTTTTTTTATATCCAGTAAACTTATTCCTATGGTTAGTAAACTATAAGGAAACATTTCCTTGGTATAAAAAAACTTTTTTTTCAGTATACCATTAGTTTTAATAAAGAGATTTTAACTACATCGTCGCAAAAAAATCACAAAAAACATGCTTTTTTTTTGTACAAATTAACTTTACCCCCCCCCCCCCCCCCCCCC